GCCCGACTCATCCACATCATGTGCGCATATTGTGCATCCATGATAACACAGGCCTACTCCTCTTCATCATCCTTGTTGCATTTCCGAAATTACTTTGAGAACGACTGAAGCGAGGCCGCCTTCTGCTTCATTTGGCAAGCATTTAATTTAATGTCTCCATCATGTATGTGAAGCAGCAGCAGGATGACTGTGGGTAAAAGTGAAAAAGCAGACTTGCTTAGGGGCTGTGCAGAAATTACTGGCAAGGGAGAGAATGAAGTTGTTCTTTGGACCCGAGGTAGACGAGTATTCAAATTTGTTTAAATAGTTATTTATTACACAAGTATACTCACCAGCTACATTATTAGGCACACCTAAAACTGGTTCAGGCTTGTGATGGTCTAATGATGTGAGGAGTATTTTCTTGGTGCATTTTGGGCCCTTTAGTACCAACTGGGCATTGTTTAAACCAGGGGTCTCGAACCAGGCCTCGCTGGCTTGTGTCCTGCAGGTTTTAGATGTGTCCTTGATCCAACAGAGCTGATTTAAATGGCTGAATTACCTCCTCAACATGTCCTGAAGTTCTCTAGAGGCCTGATAATGAACTAATCATTAGATTCAGGTGTGCTGACATCTAAAACCTGCAGCCCACCAGCCTTCAAGGCCTGGTGTTCGAGACCCCTGGTTTAAACACCACAAACTGCCTGACTATTGGTAGCAAGGTGCACCTAATAAAGTGCTTAATTACACTTTTAGAAAAAGCCTTTGTTTTTGTTTTTATCATGTGTCGAGTGTCATAAGGGGGGTACATGAATAAAGGCAATGGAGTAAAAGGATTTGAATGTGTTGCGAGGACAGCCTAATTTAAGCTCAGCTCCCTGCTGTAATTTTCAGACGGTCCCTAACTGCTTTTCTCAGAGCAGTCCTCAGTATGTTGGGTTGATTACATTTTTACACCTACTTGAAAAGAATGTCCAAGGACTTTCATCCTAGTGTCTGAAATATTACCAGATTGAAACACTGATTATGCTGATTAACAATCAGCACTTGGGGTGTTTTTAAAAGGCACACCGATCCATCAATGCAGGGCAGTTTTAAATGTCAACACCTATGATAATACGAATGGTCCTCTTCTATTTATCAAACAGAAGAAATGACATTCAAATAATCAGCAAAAACTGGATTTGCTGTTTGATGGTTTTATGCATAATTCAAATATTTGGATGAAAACCTCACCAGCGGATTGCAGCATATTCTGCAAACATTTACACGATTTTTGGAAAGCACACCAATCTGTCACGAAGAAAACCATCCCTTGTAACTCTGAATTTATCATTGTCATATGCTGGGCTGGAAATTTCTTCAGGGCTCTCTATCAGAGGATTAAGAGATGGTTGAGCTTTCTGCAGAGTCCTTTAACACACTTTAATTCTTCCCTCCCACTGCCAGGGCCCCCAGAAGTCACAGTCTGCTAAAGGCAAGAAGGCCAGTGCAGGGGACGGCAAAGGCACCCTGACTAGGATCTTCAAAATGGTAAAAAAATAAATAAAATCACACTGCTTTCTCTGTTTCTTCATGCTGATTTTCTTCACTAGTAATGCAAACAGAAAATGATTCTCCCTAATCCCTCTCCGTGCCTTGTCTTCTTCTTTGCCACAGTGATAATATCAGCAGCAGAGTGAGTAACCGATACTTGGTGGAGGGATACTTGAGTTTGAGTCGCTGCTCGTTTGTTCAGCATTGATATGCTTAGAAGCCATTGTAATGTCATTGCTAAAGCAGGCAGCAGCAGAATAATAAGAGGCTTTTAGACACAAAGTTGTTCATCGTGCACGCTACAAGCTTTACGCCAGCGCTGATATAATCATGCAGAAGATCCACTTTTGATGAGGGTTCGCTGGGACTATTTCTAATGCTTATAATATAACCCCTTTTTTATGCTGTTACAAAATAAGGTCTGGCATTAATCATGTGACAAGCAATACAGTGTTTAGTTTAGTTTAGTCCTTTTTTTGTGTTCGGGAATGTATTAACTGGCACAAAAAACACATTAGCAGCCAAAATATAGGAGCTGCACAGGAGCTGCTGATCTCCCGCTGCCTCCATCTGTTAATGTGTTTTATTGTGTGATTCTCTGGTGTTTAAGACGCAGGTAATTTACAAACAGATGAGAGAACTGATGCAAAAATAATAAAGAAGCTGAGAAAATTTAAATGAATGTCACATAGACAGACAGCAATAATGTTCCAAGTCTGTACTAATGCGTATCCCATAGATTAGCACTGGCTGATTGCATGTTTCTGTTATGTTAAAAAAAAAAATTTATATTCACCATCATTTATATTTTCACCATCAGCTTCACATTGCTGCCTTCACGGCCCCTCCAGAGCAGTTCCTAATAACCAGATTTGTTTTGGTGCGTCTTGAAGAGGAGTGTGAGTCTTCATGCTCTGCTAGTTATTTCCTGACAGGATTTAATTAGCCAGCCACTCTGACTGTACCTGAGATTGTTATTTAGCTTAGCGATTACTGGTGGTAGAGAGATATTCAAATTTCCCCTGGGCAGCATGTCTGTAGTGCTAAATTGTTGTCAGTGAGCTACAAGAGTGTAAACAGCTCAAGAGGCGACGCACTCCTGGGACGCTCCATTTGAATCTTCCTAATAAGGCTGATTAGTGTTGACTTAGTGCTGTCACAGTAGCATTTCTACACATAAATGTCAGCAAGGCCCAAATGGAAGTAAGATATTTTTTTAAGTCCGAACACCATCGCTCCCTTTCGGGACAGATATCGAGTTTCACGTGAAATGGCTAGAGCAGTCAGCAGCCGCTGTTTTATGAATAAAAAGCCTTGTACATTGCAGGATTATCTCCTACTGCAGTCTGTAAAGATTTGTCTCATTTGAATAATCTTTATGCCTTTTGCTCTGCTTGCTTTTTCTGGCAGAGTAGCAGGCACGAACAAGAACAAGCGAGACAGGAAAAAAAAAAAAAAAATTCAATAAAGTCTGTAAAGAGAGAGCTCTGAGATAAAAGCAGCCTGTCTGCTCTGGACTCTTTTTGGGATGAAAATCAATGGGTGACTGGAAATCTTTGCTTTGAAGATGACAAAGCAAATGTATTTGCAACTGGCCAACGATCTTCAACCTATCCTGCTCTCATGTTTCCTCTGTGCTGGATGAGCCCCAGCTTTTACAAACTCTGACTACATTTCTCATACCTTTCACAGACTTTTTCCCTATTTTTGTTTCATTTTCTAACAATTCTGTTTTGCGTTCACATTTTTTTTTTTACTTTGTGTCATTTTGAAACTCACATCTGTCACTTGCATAATCACTTTTACTTCAGCATCAGAAGCTTTGCCATATTGCACAACATTGCTTAAATATATTAGATTCTGACACACTTTCTCATAATTCTAAATCCTTTTTTTTTTTTTATGGAAACAGTATCTCTGTGAAGGTTCTCAGTCATCCAGGTCATCGTAGTCTAAGGAGCGTCTGGACTTCTTTAAGTTGCTTGAAGACGTTTCACCTCTCATCCGAGAAGCTTCTTCAGTTTTAAGGTCAAATGGTGGAGAGTCCCAGATTTAAACCCAGTGGGAGTTTCCCCCCAAAGAAGGACAAAAGGACCCCCTGATGATCCTCTACGTAATCACATGAGCCAAGGCATGAAAGCGGGTGTGGGTCACAATCAGCCAGGGTTTCAGGTGAGCTCATTATGAAACCTGGCCCCACCCTATCATGTGATTTCCTGAGGTCAGATGGCCCAGGGTGTGAGTGGGCGTTAAGGCGTCTGGGAAGGAATCTCAAAACTGGATTATAGTTGGCAGACAGTTGGTGTCGTAAACCACCGCCTCTGTTCAAAGATGGTCGCTCACAGTGGACATAAATGGCTTATTTCACTCCTCCTTCAAACCATCTGTCCTCTCTGTCCAAAATGTGAACATTGGCATCCTCGAAAGAGTGACTTTTGTCCTGTAGGTGCAGATGGACTGCTGAGTCTTGTCCTGTGGAGGTGGCTCTTTTGTGTTGTGCCATGCGCTTGTGAAGTGGCTGTTTGGTCTCTCCAATGTAGAGGTCTGGGCATTCCTCACTACACTGTACAGCATACACCACATTGTTACGTTTGTGTTTTGGAGTTTTGTCTTTTGGATGAACCAGTTTTTGTCTGAGTGTGTTGCTGGGTCTGAAATACACTGAGCTTAAATCTGGGACTCTCCACCATTTGACCCTAGAACTGAAGAAGCTTCTTGGATGAGAGGTGAAACGTCTTCAAGCAGCTTAAAGAAGTCCAGACGCTTTTCTTTCCAAGCTCCTTAGACCATGGAAACAGTTGCATATCTCAGCTACATTGTTATATAAATGCATTTATATAAAAAATGAATTGAAACTGGCCAGAGGAGGTGGTTAGTTTGTCATATTACTCATTACACTGACCTACATTTTCTGCTCTTGTATTGAAGTTTGTTTTCCAGATGCAGGTGGGTGACACATTGGTCTTAACACATTGCTTATGACTTTAACTTTAGCTAATAAGATTTTCAAGCAAATGTTAAGGTCATTGTTCAGTTTGAGAACGTATGGGAGATAAAAAGCCTGAAGGTTGGTTAATTCATCAATGTGTGTCAATTTCAGGCTTAATGGGAAAGCTGATGAAATCATGTATTCAAAAGAGAAACAGCAACTTATCTGGGCAGCTTATCTTTTCACAAGGCCGATGGTTTATAATGACCGTCATTCACAGTGAAGGCTGTTTTTTTCATTCAGAAGTTATTAGCTGAATGATCTATTCGTGGATTTGTCTGCAAAGTGCTTAAGTGAATACTGTAATTACACTCTGTGCAAAATGACCGGAGGGCTCTCTTTTAGTGCTGAAGCCGACATGTCGTGCACATTTTCATCATGTGTCTTGTCTTATGCAGGGAAGCAGGAGTGCTTCTCCAGCCAAACGCTGAGGTCCATCTGTACAGCCCCTTTCAACAGCACGACGGAAGACGTTCAAGAGCACGGGGGGGTGTTTAAAAAAAAAAAAAAAAAAAAGAGGAAGAGGAAGAAAACGAGGAAATCTTAGTCATCCCTTAGACTCACCTTCCCTTCCACCTCTGTTAACACTCTAATGCTCACTAAATCCCTCATTTCTTTCCACCCCACCCCCCCACCGCCCCAAACACTCTTTTGGCTGGTAGATAGCGACACAATCTGTCTCCTCCCTCCTTTCCCTGCATTGCATTGTGCTAAGTCTATGCAGTCATCATCACCGGTGTGAACCGTTTGCCGAAGTTGATCCCGAAGCCGCTCACATGTGCAGCCTGAACGCCCCCACCCCTCTATATATACGTGTATTTGGGTTTCTGTGGATGTCTCCATGTATTTCTTTCTAACACAAGGTGGCTAAAACTGAAGCAGACCCGGAGAGCTGAAGGTTAGGGCCGGTGCAAGTCCGACTGACTTGACCGTCATTGCCGTCTGCCGATCGGGTGAAAAGACCGGGTGACTTCTGTTTTAGAAAAGAGCGGTTTTCTGTCTCGTCACGCTGTCTACGTCACTTAAGTTAAGCGTCCTGTCCTACATGTACGTTGATCTGCGTTTGTCATCATAGGACCTAAGGCTGAATCTGGAGTTTTGTTGTAAAAGTTTCTAAATTTTCTAAATTTTGAGTTTCTCCTGCAGTCTCTTTCAGTCTATGAGATAATGACTAATCTACCTGTCCACACATAACAGCGCAGTTTTCCACCTTTTTTAAAACCTTGAATCTGAATCACGATGCCACATTCAGACCTTTCTTCAGTGCTTTAGTGTACTGTAAGTCTCCTCATCTCATTGCTTCTGTCTCCTGTTTGGCACAGATACTGTAAACTGAATTCATTAAAAAAAAAAGCTCAACAATAAGTGCCTTTCCTCCTGACTACCAAATACAATGTGCTGTTTTTCCTTCATGTGGATAATAAAAAACACACAATTTCAAAAAGGTGCTCTGTAACTAACTTTGTAATGACACATTATGAGGTGTTTTTGTTCTTTTTGACAATTTGTGAGTTTTCTGTAAAAAAACAAACAAGAAAAAGAAGAAGTTTTGTGCTGTTCCATCCATCTTCCAAAAGCAGCCACGTGTGATCTGCAGCATCTCCACCCGCCCCCTGTTTGCTTGAGCCTTCTGAGAGCTGTGTTGTTTTTCTTTGTTCTGAAAGGACCCTGAGAATGAATGTAAACTTCCTCCTCATTACTGTATGTGTAATAAAACATGACCTGCCACTTAACTGAGAATAAAACATTTAAAAAAATATATATATCTATATATATATAAATATATAAAACCAGCTCTACTGACTGCATTGTGTCTTTTTGTCTAGAGCAGCAAATGATGTATCTTTTAAAAAAACAAAACAACAAAAAACAGTGAAACAAAGTGTAACAAGGTCACACCAAACAAAGACATGCCAGTCTTTTTTTCCCCATTAAGCCTAAATTCATGATTCACTCGGTAATCACTATTTGGGCCAAGCTTTCCGAGCTCATGACCGGAGCAGATGGAGTACCTGCTCGCTATTCTAGCACATGTGTAATCACACAGAGTATATGCAGTTTCATGTCATGCTGAAATTACTGAAGTACAAAAGCTTGCTGGAGCATTGAAAGTATGAATGCATTTCCCCCAAGAGGATACATGTGAAATTCTTTTTACCACAGCTTTCATAATTAAAGATAAACACGGCCCTCCAAACATGTTTTTTTCTTCCTTTTCCACGTCATTTTGGAGTGGTTATTCAAAAGTGAATCAGAGGCCACAGAAACACCAGCCATGTAACAGCTGTATGAGTTCTAATTTGAACCTGGGGAAATCTATTGTAGTTGCACAATGAATGGGAAAGTTAATGGAAAACAGGATGAAGTTACCCAACATGGATATTTGTCTGTTTTATGTGACGATATAGCAGAGGTACAGACAGGTCCAGAGTTTGCTGTGCAGACTTTCAAAGACTTTAAGAAAAGTACTGCATTAACTGTTCAGGAATTACAACCATTTTTAATATGTTGACCCCATTTCAGATGCTCTGAAGTAGCTGGACAAATTGACATGATTTTAATTCCAAGGTCTGTTTTTAAGACATGCATGAAAATCCTGACATCTATAACCTGAAGTTTCCTCCCTTGAGATGCTGAAAGTCTGGACTTCAATCGCATATTGATTGTTTGATTTAAAATCCCCACTGTGGTTTTACAGAGACAAAAAAAAAAGACATTTTAATTGTGTGAAAATTGTGCCAGGAGTTCCTACATCCAGATCACAAGCTCACCAGTGAATAGATTACATCATGTTTGGTCCAAAAAACTCAAGAAAAAACAGTTGTCGACTAGTTTTATATCAACGCTGGTGTTGGGTCAAATCCAGCAAACAGCTACTTTGTATTTTTATGTAGAAGCACTGCCTCTACCCAACAAATCAGAGCAAGGCCGGGCTCGTTGCTCAAGCCGACCACGGTTATGCCTTCTGGAATTTTCTTGTTAAAAATGCTCCGTTTGAATTCACTTGCTAAAATCTAGTGTGCAGATCTTGAGTGACTTATGAGCACATTCCCTGTCACATTTCGCACCTGGAGAGGCAGTTTATAAAAATAGCTTGATCCCCCCTCCTTTTTTTTTTTTTGCTTGCACACTGACTCAGATAAGCAGCACAAAATCAGCAGGGGACCACCTTTTTATATTGCCTGAATGCTCCTCCTGTGCAAAAGCAACTGTCCTCATTTGACTCTTGGCAACAAAGCCGATAAGCCCCCATTAGCCAAAACGTCAAAACAGTTTATTCTATCTGTAATTCATAGTAATGAACAAACAACCAGCTTTAATTAGTAGAAAAATTACTTTAATCTTAACTTATTATGGACAATAGAAAAGAACAAAACAGCTGTACATTGGCTTTGCTTCATAACAAATGCAACCTAATGCTCAAATTATATATATCCAATAATCTGTGTTGTGGTGGTTCATCAAAAAATATACCCCATCTAACTACACTATTTACAAAGTGAGACAGTAAAGAAAAAGTGTTGCAGTCCTCAATCATGAATCTGGAAAATGGCGCAGCTTTCACAGTGAGCCGCTGTTTTCAAACTAAAACATCAATCGAAAATAAACATTTCACTCGGAGATGAAATATGTACAGTATAAATATGACAAAAGTAAACCAGTAGAAAAGAAGTGCTTTCTGTCTTATGTACTGTAAGGCGGTTGCTTTTAGGCCATGACAGCAGTAAGCTGCCTGCAGCTCCCTGTGAGCACACCACCGAAGAAGAGACGACACTGGTCGCTGGGAAGTTTCTGCAGCACGCTCCAGTTTCCTCTATTTCCAGCAGGGCCGGCATTAGTGGGAGACCTCTGTCTCCAGAGTGGAGACTTATCTGGGATGCCTGTGTTCCCTGAACCAAACCTCTCCAGCGGTTATCATACTGATGACAATCAGACCGCAGCAGAACGGATAAAAGTCATTAGGCCAATCAGAGGGAGCCAGACTCCCCTTGCTTTGATGCTGAATTGAATAAACAGTCAGGGACCGCTACAAGGACAGAGGACTTGAATGTACAGCATTAAGACCACCTGACTGATATTGAGCAGGTCCTCCTTGTGTTGTCCTTCTGAAACAGCTCGGACCCATTTTCAGATGGAGACAGGAGCTATGGGGGTGTTTGTCCACAGTCGGGTGGGCCATGGAGTTCTCCCAGTTCAGATTGTAGCTGCACAATCCAAGTGGGATTTGGGGAATTTGAAGGGCTTTTTGATAAGTTTCTGGAGTAATTTCTGAGAGGTGGCGGGGCTCCACTGCCCTGCAGAAGTAGGCCGGAGAGTAGAGGTGCATTTGGTCGGCAACAAAGCTTAGCTGGGTGCCAGGTGTCAAAGAAACATCCACATGAATGCCGAGATCCGAGCAGAACAGTAACGAAAAGAAATGATGAACGCTATTCACTTCAGCTGATGGTGGAGCCTCAAATCTGTTTTCAGCCACACAGCCCCTTTCAGAGGATTATTGTGTTTGGCAAAGCTTTGCTGTTTAGCCAGTAAGTGCTCATGAGACTCTGCAGTGCTTTCTGATACTTGGCAGTCATGCGGGTTGCGGTCAGGAGAAGACGTTCGGCCAGTCTCCTGTTGCTTCAGGAACCACTTCCAGGTCAAGTTCAGGGGTCACCTCGACCCGAGGCGCCGCTTCCTCTTGGCCCAGGGGCACATCTTGTATTTGACCTGGAAGCAGAAAGAGGGAAAAAATGAGTGGATTTGCACGATTCTTCCAGTGAAATTCTCTTTAGCATTGGCAAAAACACATTAACACACACGTTGGTGGAGCAGCACCATCAGCTCTGATGCCTGACTCAATTTACCAGTGGCTGTCATGCAAATAAGAATCAAAAGCAGCCTTTCCCTCTCTGCGCTGTTCCATCATTTGTTTTAATGTACCCTCATCCTCACTGTTAGCCTTCAGTCTGAAAAAACAGCACCTGAGACTCGTGTCACAGTATAAAACAACAATAAGTCAACTTGGCGTACGTTTTTTCTACCGCTACAGACCTCACAGTCCTTTACTAATATTTTAGAATCATTTCATTATCTGAAACACTTCAAACAAATATTCATTAGGCTGAAAACTGTTTTTCAGAACAGAAAGGGCTGAATCTTACTCTTTGAAGCAGACACATGACTCAAATAGCAAAGAGACAAATTTTTCCATTTTTTTCCTGAACATTTTAACCTTGCTGATGAGCCTGCAGTTGCGTGAAGTCACAGATGGAATACTAGGAAGTATTCATATTAAAATATATAATATAGCTTTCTGCTTTAAAAGCTCTTTTTGAATTTTTCAATTTCACAATGACAAAATGTATTAAGAGCAAAAAGAAAAGGCTGTCAGATCATATCGAGGCTGTCAGGAGTGTTTCTGCCCTTATTCCTCACTGAAACAATGCTCAAGTCTGACTGAAAAGTGTTGAAATGAAAAATGAAAAGAATAAAAAAGATTAAAAGATTTTTTTGGGAGGGGGGTGTCCTTCATCTCTTGTGGTTTTACAAAGAATAAAGTAAAAGTTTTCTAAAGGGGTCATGAGAAAAATACTCAAAGTCCTTGTGCCCATCATACATTTTGAGATGACTTTGAAAAGACAAGTCTGTCACCTTCTTACATCTTGCAACATGTCGATGGACAAAGACTTGATAACTTTGCAACGTGTGGGGATCTTGCAGGGTCATGAATGTAGACAATATGTTTCCAGCCAGACTTTTTTTTATGTTATAAAATAGTCTTGAGCAATAGCTTGCCAGGCTTTCTGAAGGTCTTTCCAAGTTAGGCACTTAACACTTCCATTCATCCATCTTCTTCTGCTGCTTATCCGGGGCCGGATCACAGGGGCAGCAGCCTAAGTAGAGAAGCCCAGACCTCCCTTTACCCGGCCACCTGCTTTAGCTTGGGAACACTAAAGGGGTTCCCAGACCAGCCGAGAGATATAATCTCTCCAGCGTGTCCTGGGTCTGCGCTGGGGCTTCCTCCCAGTTGGACACGCCTGGAACACCTCACCCAGGAGACGCTCAGGAGGCATACTTGTCAGATGCCCCAACCACCTCAACTGGCTCCTTTCGATGTGAAGGAGCAGGAGCTCTAGTCTGAACCCCTCCCGGATGGCCACCACCTCATCCTATCTCTAAGGGAGAATATAGCCACCCCTCTGAGGTAGCCTATTTCTGCCGCATGTATCTGCAATCTCGTTCTTTCAGTCACTACCCAAAGCTCATGACCATAGGTGAGGGTAGGAACATAGATCGAACAGAGGGGACCATGGCCTCAGATTTGGAGATGCTAATTCTCATTCCCAGCGCTTCACACTCAGCTGCGACTGTTCCAGTGCGAGTTGGAACTTAATACTGATCTATAAATTATTCAAGCTTAAAAAAGGCACCTAACTCTTGGGAAGAACCAGTGTTGTGCCGACACACCAAGAGCAGACAGTGTCGCTACTAGAATTTTATTAAATTACTGATTTTTGTCTTTTCATCGTGCAAACCTTCCTCAGTCCATAATCGGTGGCCTTAAAGTTCCTAATGCCAAGTGTCTGTGTTAATAAATCTTCCTTATTAACACAGACTGCTCTCGTCTTGCCTTTCTCTTGTGCGTGTCATGTGGTGAATATAAGCACTCCAAACAGCACCATGACAACCTTTCTCTCTTTAAATAGATTAAGGAACTTAAGGACCATTTGATGTAAAGTGGTCATTAAACTGAGTCTATTAACAAGATTCCTGTGGGTCAGGTCTAAAATGAAAATCAAAGAAAATGAATCCATATTTTTAGACATTTTTCTGTGGTTATACGATCTGGATACAGTGTGTTTAAGACTGAAGCAAACAAATATTTTCTAATGAGATGAACGTTTTGTCATTTTTAAATCTGTTTAATGGTTTAATTCATTCACTCAGTGTTGTTCCTTTGTATTCATCATCCCTTTATTCAGGCTAAGGTTAAAGAATTACATGTGTTAGTGAGTTAATTGATCCATTCATGCATGTTAACATTTGCTTATATTAAACAATGAGGTTATAATTGATTATAAACCAGTGGGGACGACAGTGGCTCAGGGGGTTGGGAAGCGCATCTGTAACTGGAAGGTCGCCGGTTTGTTCCCCGGGCTCTCTCAAATTCAAATTTATTTGTCACGTACACAGTCATACACAGTACGATATGCAGTGAAATGCTTAGACAACTGCTC